ATATCTGTAGTTGGAAATGCATTTAAATAAATAAAATCCCAGCAGGTTAAGATGACTACTTCACTCTCACTTATCCTTAAAAAGCAACCCTCCCTTGTTTTCTTCTTTCCTCTGACACATGAAATACTGAACTGCAGCCAACATTCACGAATTAGATGACGGGAAAATTGTAAGAGAACCTCTGGGCTGGACCAGAGCAGCTGTACCTTCAATAATACTGTGTGGCATGAGTCTGGATTAGTTCCTAGGGGCTGCATCAACAAGACATGACTTCTTAGACAATTGCACTAACTGATCTGCTCTGATTGCAGTGTTTAAAGCGTGACCCTCTGCAGGGCTGCAGGTAAGATGCAGTTTTACACTCTTGGTATAAAAATACACATTTGGTTCAGTGGAGATTCATGAAAATTGGGATGCAAGTATTTTAATAAATCACTTTCTTTTTTACTTTCAGCTTTTTGAACTTGATGTGTCTTGAAAACTCATCTGGCAGATGTTTATATTTAGTTTCTTTTTGGTGAAAGACTTCTCCTAAAAGCTGCATGTAAATGTTGTTTTTCATTTTCTATCTTTGTTTACGTTAGAGTAGGTAGCTTGTTACCACTCAGTGTTCCCCACTGCTGTGTGCTGTTAGTGGTTTGCCTTTAAGGATATAGTCGGGGTGAGTACAGTCATACCTTTTATTTTATTTCAGTTGATTTGATTTTTTGTTGTATGTTTCAGGTGGAAATCATCAGAAAATAAAATGTGTGGATTATTTTATCATTAAATACTTTGTGGTGAAACATTTTTTAATGTTATTTTTCTTCAAAAATATCTGAGCTATATGTCTCCCCCCCACACACACACACCCCCACACACACACCTCACCCCAACTGCTTCCTCTTTTTCTCCACTTCCTCCATATTTTCTCTGTTTTTAAAACAAAACCGAACAGATGAACGGAATCAAAAATTCATACGTGGCCGTCCTCTTCAGAGAAAGGTCACATGCATTTCAGTTTTGTCTTTGCCCTCCCGCCCCCGTGGACATGCACCGGCCTGAGTCATGGACTCGGTGCGTCCAGGGTGCGCTCTAGCAGCACATCATGTTTTGCAGATGTGCTGAATGGCTTCAAATCATCATGTGCTGCCACTGTGAGCCCTGGGATCCTCAGCATCACACTGCTCCTGGTCCATTTTCCTCCAGCTTAGACTTTGATTGCAATAATTTCTGTTACTTGTCTTAAAGCTACGAACCACATGTGGGAGAATGAATGCATGAGTCGCTTTCCTGTTCTCTGTTAGCAGCTGGATGCATCTCATTATCTGAGTATCACTGAAATATGTGGTTTATTTTTCTGTCAAGATCTGTGAAAAGAAAAGAATTGCACTGACATGAATAGTGAGCACAGACTCACATTTATTCTGTTTCAAGCTGAAATCCTTTTGTCTCCTGACAACAAACTCATTGCACCAGTGAGCTGAAAACAGCATTTCCTACTTATAATGAGGTTAGAAAATTAGGACGAATGGTTTAGATAATTTCCTTATTTAGGGTCGACAGCTTAGACACGTTTTTAGGTTTTTCACTCATAACTATGTTGATTTTGTTAGTGTTTGTGTGGAACAACCAGCGATTAGCCTCCAGCCACAGTTCTCTTTCTAAAGGTTTTTATTAAAATAAGGGAACAATGTGTTTTATCCACATCATATAAAACTAATTTCTGTTTATAATCGTTTAAGAAACTGTGGAACAAACACACAGCTGACCAGGAGTGCCTGCATGTTGCATTGTTTATATTTTGTTGCTGTTTTTCTTGTTTTCGATAGGTACTCGTGTCAAAGCCTGCCAGTCTGTGGAATCACTCGTTTCAAATATGTTCTCGTCCCTGCAGAGATCACTGATCCAGCCAAAGCTGCTGTCACAAACAACCTGAGAGGTGTTTGCATTGAAATCTGCTCTTTATATTTCAGATCAGTGTGTGGGAGGCAGATCACTGCACGCTGAAAATATGCTGCGTTACCTGTAGTGCTTGGATTTATTCTTTACTTGTTTTTCCAGAAATGCATGTTTGTGAGTGCGTGTGAGTGTTGGTCATTCAGTGCATCTGGCCGTAGCAGCACATCATTACTGGTATTTTTCACTGCATTACCAGTATGTTATGTGCTGCTTCTGTCAGACACACATCACTACACTGCTGTGATTGTCATTTATGTTGTTAGAAATAAGCAGCACTGCAGTTTAATGTGTCTGAAACGTCCCAGTGGACGAACATAATGGTCTGTGGGTCGATTATGACTGTTACACGTTAATAAAAAGTCAGCATTTGAAAACTAAAATGTCTACTGAAACTTATTTTAGACTCAAAGAAAAGGTTCAAATCTCGTCTCACCTTAAACCACGTGCATGCTAAAGTTCTTTGAGGTCGCGATGGCTTTGTTCCAAGCTCAATAAAATCACACTGTTGGTCACTGTGTTCCTATAACTACGTCCTTGATGCCGTCAATCACATCCACCCTCAGCACCTTCACAGCTTTTAGTTCAAGGGATATTTGTTTAAATCATCCTTTTGCAATTTACTTTTCACTCTGCAGGAGAGAATTGGCATCACTTTTCTTAGTGTCTTAATGTGTTGGGGTGCACTTGGAGGCTGGCAGATAAACTACAATAATGTTTTCTTCTGTTTAGACAAAAACATTTCTTTGGGAGCTAAACAGCAGAATGGAAAAGATGCACAAGCACATTCAAATTCGCAGTATTGCATCATCCCCAAAACATCTGTTTCTTTTAAGCCAACGTGTTTACGCAGCTACGCTTCGCTGCACTTCAAAGCTCAAGCACTATCATGCAAAATGATACTGATGAAGATTCCCCGTCTGCGACGCTCCTGCCAGAGCAATAAAATAAATGAAAGGCGTGAAGTCGAGATAAAATAAATCTTCTATCACGTTAACTTTATGTTCCACTCACATGAATATAACAAAAAGATTAAACAGCATGAAACATACATGATGCTGTCAAATGCTAAAATAGACAAAAACTGACAGTTTCTACATACAGAAAAAATAATAATTAAAATCATCATTTGTTACATTGTTTCAACTTCCAGACTCCAATCTGGAATAACAGGAGCTTGATATGGATGCTGGAGAGGTGCAATATCTCTTTTTATTCCCAACACTTTACTCACTTTTAGTCACTTATTCAGTCACTTTAATTTTATAACTGTATATTCTGTGTATTTATTATCTCACTCTTATTTCCTGTTTATGCTCTGTCCTCGTCTTCAACGTCATGCTGCTCTGTTGTATCTTAATCGTCCCTTTGGGATGAATAAAGTCTGGTTCTGATATTCAATTGGAATTCATCCACGTTGTCTCAGCTCACTGATGTCATTTTGTTTAGTGGGAAACCAGTTGTGTTTCAGAGCTCTACCAAGAGATCCTGGTAAAGCTAGTTGAGATGTCCTCTTATCATTTTGTTACTGCCATGTCAAAGTTTTAACCACGGATATCTGCCAAAAGTAAGATGTGGATTTCTCAGGACACTGGCTCGTCAAAGACATTAGTAACACATGCCAGCAATTATGCTGTCAACATGACAAATCGAATCTTACAAAGGCATTTGGAGACACTGAAGTGGGAATTATAGAGGAGCTTTTTAATGAGTTTCTGTAAATGCTTTAACTTTG